TCTTGAAGAATGGAAACTTGAAGACAGTTCACTTAAGGTTTTGTCACTCAAACTGTCTATGCTGTTCGCAATTACAACAAGTCAGCGGCTTCAGACCCTCAAGGCATTATGCATCAATAAGATAAACTTAAAATCAGACCAGTGTAGTTTTGAAATTGATGTGTTGCTGAAAACCTCTCAGCCGGGAAAACATCTGAACAAAGTGGTGATAGCAGCTTATCCGGGTAACAAAAATTTGTGCCCGGTGCAACACTTGAAGTCCTATTTGGAAAAAACATCAACATTGAGAGGTAAACATACCCAATTGTTTGTGAGCTTCCGGAAACCGCACAATCCTGTTTCAACTGACACTCTTGCGAGGTGGATTAAAACTGTTATGCACAAAGCTGGAATAAACACAGAGATATATGGTGCTCATAGCACCAGGGCGGCTTCCACTTCAGCAGCACATAGGAAGCATATTGATACCAACAAAATCCTTGCTGCCGCAGGGTGGACTAATGAGACCACCTTTAGTAAGTTCTACAACAAAACTATTGTTGATATGACAAAGAACTATGGCGAAGACCTATTGTCTGCCATCATGAGTCAAAACTCTTGAACTAACTCCGAACTGTTTATTTGTACTGTTTACTGATTTAATATTTTCACTATATATCATTCACATTGATTGAGCTTCACTGTTGTGATTTTTGCTCTACGGGTCATGACGCTTTGAAGTCTCACGTGACTCCTTAGCGAAAATAACCAATCATGAAGTAGAATTGAAAGTTAAACGAGACTTACCTGTAAGTTGAAGTTTGACGTAGATTCTACGAAATATTGGTTATTGAGCTAAGGAGTCAACCTTCCCTCCCAGTGTTGGGATATGACCTACACATTGTATTGCACAATCTCCCTCCCAGGTTGTGATGTCATGACCCTTCTGCTTTAAAGTGTGATCTAGCTTGCTTCGCGCGCATATCTCACGTGACTCCTTAGCTCAATAACCAATATTTCGTAGAATCTACGTCAAACTTCAACTTACAGGTAAGTCTCGTTTAACTTTCAAATATACTGCCTTGTTAGTATTCTTTATATAAAGAATTACTAATTAGGAGTGTTTTATCAGGTTTAAAGCCATTGCACGTGACATATTATGGTTGACATCATGATTTGCCAAAAAGGTTACGAATTATTAATGAGTGTTTGAAGGTCTGATAAAACACGCACTGCCACTGCGAATGTTTTAAATTGCTTCAAAAACGATCGATCTAGTAAGTTCATTGGTGAAGTAATTTTCACTAAAAATACGTTGTGTAAGTCGAGAAAATCAAAGTTAAAGTTTATGTAAATCAAGGGAAATCTTTATCACATATAAAGATACGGCAGGCTTATGATTTTTCTTTGTGTTTTTCTCATGAATTATTACTGCGTTTTTGAAATATCGATAAACTTTGAGTTTGAAATAAAATGATTTCAAATTAAAGTTTTAGTATGATAAAAAAAGTCTTTTCTCATTAATCATTTTAATATACGCAACGATCACTTTTTAAAGCAATTATAAAGCAAAAAATACATCAAGGGGCCATGCAAAATTCATTGTACTCCCGGCAGGGGGGAAATTTGAGGGGGTATGGGGGGTGTAACACCCCATCAACGTACGAATCATCTGGATTGGCAGGGCGAATCATCTGGATTGGCAGGGCAATCAAAGATTTTAAATTATTGATGTAGAGTTATTAAGTAATATACAGGGCTTCCAGAGGGAATTGAATAGAATTTATAGACCTAAATGTTACAGATATTGGTCGAAAAATAAGGGTTTCACGCATGTTTTAACAGGAATTTGTCCGGAAAAAATTTTTTGACCCTTAATTTAACTGGTTTACGTCCGGAAAAATTTTTCCGACCCTTTTCAGTTGAAAGTCCAGAAAAAAAATTTCCAACCTCTCCCCCTCCCCCCCCACTCGCCAACATTTTTGGGAAAAATAGTGGCCAAAAAAAGTTATTCTAGTAGACACCCCCCTAATTAAAAGGGGTTAGTTTCGCCCCTGACTCCTGGGCCGGAGCCAATCAATTTTGATTGCTAAGCAAAGCAAGCCCCGCTTAGGTTGATGTGATAAAATCTCCTGCCCCACTCGAAACTTTGCTAAAAAAAGTTGCTGCTCCGCACTGCTGTCAGTGAAGAAAGCTTGTGCAGCTGTTAATTTCTTACTGTAGGGTTGCTTACCGTGTTCAGCTGGAGAAAATCGCTGAAATGTACGGGAGGTCTGACACTGCGACCCCTGCGAGTCTGAACTTCTCCTAAAGAGAATAAACAGCGTCTAGCCTCTCACTTTTAGTTATTTGATCTCCTTCATCGGTGGAAAAAATTGGTAGAAAAAAATCTTTGTGCCCCGCTTCTATGCAGTTGCAAGGCAGAAAAAATCTGTGCGCCCTGCTTCTATGCAGCCCCAAAAAAGTATGTGCCCCGTCCCCTTTTGCTCCGGCCCGATATAAAATAAATTTTGTATGCCTCCTAATATCCACCTAACACTATTAGTAATACATGGTCTAGCTAATTTAGCAAGGACTTCCTTATCAAATACATGGAAATACATGCATTCAACAACCCCTCGCCTATATTCTTCAAACAATGTTCAACATGAAATATGCGTAATTACGCCAACATGAACGCAGGCTCGCGTTCCTCACGTCATGTTAGTCATGGGCCTCATGGCAACACAATAATTGTTTTTTTAAATTTTTGTACAAACCTGCAAAAAATAGATGAAACTTGAACACTTTTAAATACAAAACTATCAATTTCTAAAATATATAAAGTAGGTACGTATATTATTTTGGTTTCTGTGGGCTTTATTTTAATGTAAAATTCGAAACGAAACTCTAAGTATTGAAATTTTACCATTGAAATTAAAGGCTTTTTGCTGATATTAATCTATTCAACTTACTACTCGCAAAATGAAATAAATTTAATTCGTACAGGACGCAAATGAAAATAAATTGCTTTCCTTTTTATCATGAACTTCTACAAAAGTTAATTTAACTAAGAAACTTTCGCATACAATGCATAGGGAAGACTTGAACAACAAGAACAAAGTCTAGTATCAAATACAATGCATTATCTCATACCTAGCGTATTAGCGGCTTTCCTATTGGCTACGAGGAGGTGCGTTCAATCTCGAACCCACCTGCTGACGTATGTTTAGGAGGTGGGTTCGAGATCGATGTTTCGGCGGCGGCCATTATGAAGCGATTTTAAACAAATTTCAGACGAAGATTTAAATAAAAAATAAATTAACTGTTTTTATTTGTTTTATAATTATTATTTTTTTATTTTGTTTGATGAAAATGGAATATTCTGTATTCAAAATGGAAGAGAAGAAAGATGGCCGCCGAAATTTGTTCGGCACGGGCATGTCTATATAAATCTTGGCATTGTTTTCGCAGAATGTGTTCATTTTCTCTTTTCAACAATAAGGGAATATTATAGAGAATTTTTTTAGCTTTAATTTAAGTCTAAGTTTGTTTGTTTGCGTAGTATGTTGGCGGCTAAAATGTTCGTTATCCAAACACGAAATTATATACTAAAAAGTAAAATGCGTATAAAATTTTTCATGCAGTACTTTTTAGTATTTCACCGAAATGGCATGTGATAAAAACCAAACATACTTGCAGGTTCGGTGAGTCCGGGATTGGACGCACCTCGGCTGGCTGGAAGTTTCCCGAACGAGCCACCCTAGGTGCGTCCAATCCCGGACTCGCCGAACCTGCAAGTATGTTTGTTATAAAGTCATACATAAACAATTGAAACAAACTTGCCCTATACTTTAGAATTTCTCATACTAAATATGAATTCTTATAAATGTTTACGTTTAAAAATTGAAAAAAAGTTTTACAATTTGTTATGTGAAACGATTTTCCAAGCTTTCTCACATGTATTTTTTATATTTTCCACTTCTTCACTCCTGGCAAACAGCCATATTTTGAGATCAGTGAGATGACCACCCATCACTGAGCTATAATATATCTGGAGGAAAACAGTGTCGCCAAAAACATGGCGGATTTTCACGTCTGCTGACGCCAGAACGACGCCACTGGTCCGAAATCCTCGTGGTAATTACCACTGACCAACCGCGATCCTCAGCGAGGGGAGGCGGTAGGGCAATTCCCCGGAGGGGTAGCTGGCCTGGGTTAGGGTTTGCGGTTAGGTTGCGGGGTTAGCAGGTGGGGTTAGGGGTTAGGGGTTAGAAGGTGGGATTAGGGTTAGGGGTTAGGATTAGGGTTAGGACTAGGGTTTGAGTTAGGATTAGCGTTTGGATTAATTGTAAATCCATTGTAACCAATACTTTATTGCATACAATGGCATTACAGCGCCAATAAATTATTGGTTACAACGTGCGGAACGGCTGGACGATTTCATCCCCCTGGTCTTTGTACGAAAAGTCTGAAACTCTGCTGAAAGTTTATATAAAAAAACATCAAGAAAAAATGCCGAGTTTTTGCATGGCTTCATGATGCCACAAGGCACAATTCTTTAATATCAAGAAGAAACACTTTTTTACCGGTAAGATGTTTTCAACTCTTTTTCTGTGCTTTATTTGTAGTAAATATAAATACCGTTTTTTAAAAGACAAAATTGGATACGAAATTTACAAATATGAGGAAGCTGTACTTTGTGTTTTTATATTTTGCCATTTGGGCAGGGTATAGTTTTTGTTTTCCTTCGGAGTCCTTACCCAAAGATCCACATACAGATATATTTTCACATACAGAATTGTAACAGAAATGCCTTAAAATGATGGACAAGTGTCAAGTCACAAATGGTGTCAATAGTCCCAACTTGTCCTAGGGTTTTAATATAATATCATAGGAGGCCCAATATATGGTTGTAATGGGCTCAAAAAAGATCAATACAACCTGTCTCTGCAGGAGTAAATGTTGGATAAAAGCTCGCAAGGCACGACAATTTTGAGTTGTGATTTTAAAAGACAATTTTATGGTTAACATAGCAGGCCCAATAGATAGTTGTACAACTAAAGTTTATAGTTCATATATAAAAAGGCCAGCAATTAAATAGACATATTGAATTTTTCTTGACGAATATGAATTTATGGATATTACATAGAAATAGATAGAAAGTGGGAAGGGATGCCTATTTCACAACACTCTAATTTCTATGTCTGAAATGACATATTTTAATATTTGAAAGGAAAAAAAATAATATAATGTTCAATAGCATGTAGACCAAATTATATAGATAGGCTACTATAGTATGTGACTGATTGGATATATATTCTATTACACTTTTCCAGATGCCAAGAAAAATCCTGAGATGTGTAGAAAACTTGAAGAAGAATGCCCTATATACCTGGTTAAATTTTATGCCACAAAGGCGAATCACCTCTGTTTGAAGCAATTAGTATAATATTCCACTTAACTCATTGAGTGGCAACACTCTCCATTTGACGAGTAAAATCGTCTGGCGTTAGGCACATTAAAATACTAAAGTAAGGCGGATCAGGGTGCATTGCCACTTAAAGGGTTAACTCATTGAGCACCAGCACTCTCCCCTTCACAAATAAAATTGGTTGCCATTAGACAG